CCAATCTTCTTTTTCTGGGGACCCTTCTCTGTGGGTCAGAAAACAGCTAGCTAGAATATGCCCTCATTTCTACATTTATAATGTTGGGGTTTTTTCAGTCATAGAGTGCATCCTGCATTACTTCTGTGTCCTAGTTACATTTCTCATTGCTGAGACAAAATACCAAGCACCCAACATTACAAGGGGAGCGGTGTATTGAGCTCACAGTGGGTAGACGTTTCAATTCATCATTGGCTGTCTCCAAGGAATGGTGGCATGGCAGACAGGCAACAGCTAATGATGTCAGAAGACAGCAAAGCAACAAGAAAGAGCAAAGCAAGCCTCTTTTTGTCCTTTATGTCATGCACAATCTTTGGGATCAGGACAATGCCAATCCAATCAGTGGTGATTGAGCAGTCACCCGCATTGCACTCTGAATCAATCACATACTCTAGATTCAGCCACCTCTGAAAAAACCCTATGACCCTAAGAGGCTCTGGGGGGACATCCAGACCCAAACAGTAATATGTAACAAGACAGTGGTAAATAATGCTCTTGAGGGAAGTAAGTAACCAATAATTACCAGATCCTGTCTTTTCATCACACCACAGGGCCCACAGTGCTGCTACTCTTGGAGGAAACTGTACTTTTTACTCAATAAAAATAAGATTACAGCTGCAACATCCCACAAGCCAAAATAATTCCCTATTTCTAGCCCACCCATGCCTGAGGAACTGCACTTAGTAGGTCATTTGTGCTTACAGAATCAAGTCTCTGTACAATTACCTTTGGAGACAGGAAATTGAAAATGCACCTGGGGACATAATTTTACCCATCTGAGTTATGCCTCACATAACAAAATCAGACCCTTCATATATCCTCTCGTTAACAGTGAAGAAAATTTAAAGTTTATTATTTTTAATTTTTTAAAATTCTTTCCATAATTTTATTGAGAAACAAATAGCAATGAGACAGTTTCAAACCAAATTAGTAGGACAGTTTCAATAATTAACACATTGAATACATTCTTCCTAGTGGTTAATTGCTGTACAAGATGCAGACATGATATCCTATTTACAAACACTATTAGAAAAAATCCCTCTATTCATTATGAGAATGTAACTATAGATCTATCCTAACCACTTTGAATACACAGATATGAAATGGAAATTCATCTGTATCCCCTTTCTTGTTAAGTTCCGTTATTTGAATATTATAGGTGTGTAAACTCAGCAAAATATTCTAAAGGAGTCCAGTAGCCCATAATAGTATTGGTATTGGGTCTTCCACTTCACTGGCAATGTCAGAAATTGTTGACCTGAGTCCCCTACAGCTCAGCATAACAGCATGGATTTACTTTTTATACTTCGTTTTTATACTTTTCTGCTGGATGGTTAAGACCAAGATAAAGCAGGACCTATGCAACCAGAGTTGCAGCTTTTGTCTGATAAGGTCAGTGAAATCCCCTTAGGATTTATGCTGAGATCCTGTACCTCAGATTGTAGAACATTTGTCAGTTTCAACCATGTGGATGAGTCAGGGCCATTGCTTGGCCAATTTGCTCTGTGTGAAAGCCTGAGAGAATGTTTTCTCTCCATGTGACTCTCCTTAGGCACACTCTACAGCATCAATCACATATTTCCTCTTTGGCCCTATAATCTCCTTGATCAGAAAATTTGGGACACTACCAAGTTACATGACGTTACGGTAGAAGTTCTCATATGTCCTGAGTCTTAATTGACCTTGGAAGGCTAGGGCCAAAATGTTGGGTTTCCTTGAGGCCCTCCTTTTTCTCTAATTTTGGTCTGTAAACTTAGGTTGTTAACTATCCAGAAGACAAGCTTATTTTTATTACCATACAACTTAGGCTGCTAAGCTTAACCTCACTATCTGTCTGAATATCAAACATCTTAGGCATAATATGGAACAGGTATTTTACATCAAGTATTGATATGTT